TCAAGTTTTGAGAGTCTCTTGTGTTTTTGTAAGTCGCCCATGTATCTTTTGATACAGTGAGGTAGACTGGTCGTTACTTGATAGTTTATCAAGTTATTGTTACTTGATTGTTTATCAAGTTATTGTTATTGGTTGAAACTTTTAAGCAAAACTAATTATTGTTCTCACTCATGAGATTTTAAGAAAAGTTATATACCCCAAAATTTTCCCTCTCACTTATCAAGAATTTTCTCACAAGATCTCCTTGGACTCAAGACTGCACTAGGGTTTGATCAGCTCAAGACACCTCCTTAAACACTGATGACCAAAATTAGGGTTTGAGATTTCAAAATGATATTTGAACTTACAATTCCCCATATGACTTTCATGGATCATCGTGGACCCCCAAGATCACTCATGTCAAGTTTCAAGCCTTGGATCACATTTTTGCTCAGTCAATTGAGCAGTTAACCTAAAAATCAGTTGTATTGGGGAAAAGGTCAACTATGGCTTATTTACAGTCAAACTTCATAATTTTTTATCCAAATCAACATTTTAAACCCATATGTATCATTTGATCAAGTTTGGACCACAATTCCCCAAGAAATTTGATCAAATCTCCAAAAGGGCAAAATGGTCAAAATTAGGGTTTTGACTGGGAAAGGGCAATTTCTGATTTTTGACCTAAAAAATGATCAATTGGTTTAAGGCATTATCTCAAGAGTCCAATTGCATCATTTTGACCTAATAACATGGCTCAAAACATTACTCAAGTTCAAAGGATTGACATATGAATTTTCAGTCAACTAATCAAAAGTCAATTGTATACTGAAAAGTCAAACTTTGACTTTTTGGTCAAATTCAAATGCCAAAGATCACAATTCATCAAAACATGTAAAAATATGAAACTTATTCATCAAGAAATCAAAAAAGTCAAGATTTCATTTTGAAAAAAAAAATTTTAATTTAAAATTTTTTCCAAGTGTTGAAAAATTCTTATTTTTTTATAACTTTGAGAAAAAATTCCACCATGATGCAGAATGATTCAAGAGAAACTTCCAACATGAAAGTTGTAGATCTCCATGAAATATACAACTTTTCTTTACACAACTCCTTCCAAAAGTGATTGGATCGTAAGTTATAAATTTAAGAACATGTGGTCATGAAACAAAACACTTAGTCAAATTTTTGCCCTAATTTGGTCAGGTTTTGACCCAACTTAATGGCACTTTTTCATATGGTTCCAAGTGAAATATTCAAAAGCAATTCAAACACACGTAATTTAACAAAATTAGGCATATTCGTTTAGTTTACTTGTCCAAGTATTATTCCAAGAATTACTCTTTATTGTTATTTACAACCTTCTCGTTGCAATTTAACCCATCAATCACTCTACAACTATCTACTCTCATTTTCAATAATCACTATTTTATACTATTATAATTATAATTGTAATTATAAATAAGTAATTTATAATATCTAAATTATTTTTTAAAAAAATAAAAATAAAAAATTAATATTTTTAATATTATAAAACTGAAACCCAACTCGCATTTAAAATTTAAATTCAAACTGAAATATAATTTTATTATTAAAAAATTTAAAACAAAAAATTGAAAATCATCCTAAAATATTTAAAATTTAAATTCAAAATGAAATATAATTTTATTATTTAAAAATTTAAAACAAAAAATTGAAAATCATCTATAATATTCTATAATGATGTGTTTTTTATTTCATTTTTTATAAACCAGACGAACTCGTGAGGGCCTGCCGTGTAAGATTTTAGTTATATGGAAATTAAGAAAAATCTTAAATTGCACCCACATAGTTTAGGAAAAGAATTTTTTTTGGAATTTATGAATGTATCCTATGCATTTCTAGAACACCTCGTGAAAATACAATAATGTTCTGGTTTCAGATATGTATCTTCAGACGCATCAAAATTCAATATATTTTTGAATCAGACTCTAACTCAATGGAAAAATATTACGGAGATACATATTTGTATATATTACGAAGATGCATCTCCGGACGCACCAAAAACCCCCCAATATATTTCTGAATCAAACTCTAACTCAATCAAAAAATATTACAGAGATACATCTTCGAATATATTACGGAGATGCATATCCTGATGGTATTTGTTCGTAAACGCGCCATAACCCCTTCTACTTCCACACTTCTAAAACTCGTTTTCTCAAATTCTCTCAAACCACATTTTCTCAAACTCTCTCAAACCACGTTTAAGCAAATTCAAAACTTCCTCCATCAACATCAAGTCCAATCAACCAACTACAAGCAACTATTTGTAAGTTATTGATTTTTGTAAACCTTTTGAGTTTTTGACTAAATTTGTAGAAGTTGATTACTAGATTCTAGATATAGATTACACATGTTTGATAATTTATACTTAATGAGAAATGAGTTAGATATGTAGTTTTTATGATCAATACATTATTTTTTATGATTGGGGGTTTGCAATCCCCCATTGACGATGGTGAAAGTTGTAGAATATTTCAGAGATGCATATTCAGAATATTGCAAAGTTTGGAAACCCAGAAACTAGAGATTCATCTTATTAAATTATGTTTCTTGGATTCATTCTTATTAAATTATATCAGCATGACCGTGATTCGCTAAAAATCATCAACCATGAGCGAAATATTAATAGCATGCATCCGCATAATGAGCAGTGGTTTCAGGAAGTTTTGTAGCATTATAGGATGCAAGACTTGTGCAAGACCGTTCATGTTACGGTTAACCATGGTATGCTTAATTCATTTGTAGAGAGATGGCATATGGAGACATATTATTTCATCTACCACATAGTGAAATGTCTATCACACTAGACGATGTCTCATGTCTGTTGCATCTTCTGATTAGGGGATAACTTTTAGATCATGGGAAGATTAACAGAGACGAGGAATTGGATTTGATGGTAGACTATCTAAGAGTTGATCCAGAGGCTTCCATGGTGGAGTTTGAAGCCACCTGAGGGTCTCATGCTAGATTTGGCTTCTTGAAGAAGGTGTATACAAATGAGATACTGATAGCAAAATAAGTTATTGGTGATGCCGAGCAGGTAGCATACCATAGAGCATATGCTATGAGAGTATACATGTCGTATTTGGTTGACACTTCCATTTTTATGGACAAGAGTTTCACTTATGTAGATGTCATATACATGCGGTGCTTCGATGACTTTGAGCTTATCCATGAGTATATTTAGGGGCCACTTGTTTGGTCTACTTGTATCCTAAGTTATCTGAACGTTGTATGTGGAAGGCAAAATAGGTGATGACTGCATCACACTATTGAAGGTAATATTTCTTGGTCTTGTCTAATGATTCATTACATTATTGCAATGTCGTTACTAACTAATGATTCATGTGTTCCAACACTTTTCAGGCTTGGATCCTCCAGCACTTCCCACACAACTCTGGCTGGTCATGTGCCTTGACATATACTAAGGATATGCAACGTGCTTCTGCATTCGTCCCGCTTAAAGGAAACCAGGAGAAAAAGTCATTTAGAGTGTATCTTAATCGCTATATAGCAGAGTATATACACTTTCATTCTTACGTCGAGCACCGTGAGAAACGTCCCTTTGACAACATAGTCTTATACTCAGGATGGTTGACTTGCGGTTCATTTCTAATGTTTCCTCATCTTCCTGAACGCATCATACGTCAGTTCGAACATGCAATACATTCCCAGAGATCCTTCTATGTATGGTCATCCCACTATGACACGTATAGATATGGACGCTATATTTGATGATTATGTTAATCATCTAGTACCGGAGGAGGCACGAAGTACCATAACTGAGAGCGACTTGGGTTATGTAGAAGGTTACATCTGGTGGTTCTTCAAGTTGTCACATCCTTATATGGTACAAGATGCTCTAGGAGATCCAGTGAGACTAGCTCATCAGTAGATATTGTAGGAGGAGCAGGCTAGGGTAGATCATGTTGTTGATGTGTTGTTTAGATGTTGTCGTATCATGGACATTTGGGCAGGCATGTATTGACAGATGATTATTTCCGGTTGACTCTAAGGCGAGGGACATTGTAGATGCCATGATGACGGAGGCTCGAGAGGCACTGCACTATAGGAGGCATCATAGGAATAAGGGGCCACGAGGCCGAGTCTGGGTGATTATAGTACTTATTTCGACTTTGTTATGTACTCTTGATTTATAACTATATATATATATATATATATGTCATTTTCTGCATAGTCATTGTATTGTCTAATTCATCATAATATACCTTCAGCTCAATTCATCTAAGAGTCACTAAAAAATCTTAAAATTTATTATCTGGACTTGGTACGTAGATGGATCTTCCTTCTTGTAAGACTATGGAATTGCATCTATGAAAGAATCTATAGAAAAAAAGGGCGTTTTAAAGAGTCATTTATGGCGTTTACATAAAATTAATTCAGAGATACATTTCTGAATCCATTTTTAACATTTAATAAATTAAAGTGTATTCAGTTATACATCTCTAAAATCTGATAGGCAATTTTAAATTTTCATACGGTGTTTTCCAAATACCCTATATACTAAGAAACTCTCAAAACCTTTGCAATATGATTTTAGTCATTTAATTATAGTTTTTTTTAGCCTTTAGTTTCAATTAAGATTTTTCACCTTTTTTTTTTTGACAGATTAAGATTTTTTCCTTAAATATAGTTTTTGCCCAAAAACTCTTACAAAGAAGAAAACAAGTATATATAAAAAGTAAAGACTAATTTATAACTGTGATCTTGAGTCATGTTTATGTACTGTATCCTTAAAATAGTAGATAACAAAAAAATGCTCCATATATATGTGATAGATAACAACAAGTACATAGTCACACAAAAATCATCTCAAGTACAGAGCTTATTGATACAACAATTCAATCAAACATAACACAGTAAGGAAGTCCAAAATGTAAAAAAAAACATATGAAAATAATCACGAAGGAAATGGAAATCAAATCCATTAAGACAAATGAAAATTAAAATAAATCTTAAAGACCATTTCTGGCAAAGAAAATTGCAATGAAAATAGGAACAATTCCAGCAATTACATGATAATTGAGGCTGCTTGCATAACTAGAAGGTGCTTCTGCAGGAGACATGTGATGATGACCTTCATGAGCAGCAACCACCATAGCCAAAACAATGAACAAAACTGCAAACAATGAGAATTTGACTTGTGTTGAAGCCATTTTTGCCATGTTGGTCTATTCAGATGATTGAAGGTATATAATTCTTCACGGCTGGTTAAGGCTTGATTATATAGAGGGGTTTCATCATTGACTTTTACAATTAATCAAGAGCTGCCGTTACGTGAAGCCAATAATGCCCTTTCAAACGCTATCATGATGTTAATTTATTGTAATTTATTATGATAATAATCATGATCATAATAATAATAAAGTTAAAAATTCTAAATTTTATAATTTTGATTTTCCACTTGTTTTGGAGTGATTTTGGTCTTTAATACTTTTTAATTTATATATTTTTTTTACAAAAAGTTTTTGTGAATTTATATAGCATCGAACTTCTAAAAAAAGTGTGTTCATGTCTTTCATTTTTCAGACACTTGTATTGGCACGTGTAATTACATTTCATTTATTTATTTTTTAAAATTATTATCAGTGTTGCTATATCAATGACAGAGTCATGTTTGAGGTGTCTATGCTTCATATGAATTGAACTCCGGAGTTTACCAAGATTAGGACGGACCAAGACTCAAAAGAACTTTAGCATCAACAACAAGTGTGAAGTAATTTCTTATCAATTGATTAAACTTTTATTTGATTTTGATCCTTGTATATATTTTTATTTTTATTTTAGTCTTTGTTGTAGGTGAGTAAAATACAAGAATGGAGTTGAATTGTGTTGATTTTTCTTTCTTTTTTAAAACTCTCTTATCAGATTCGGAACACAAAGTCTAGAATCTGATTCAAGGTAAATTGTATGCAGCAAATATAAACAATATTAGACTTAGAGAGAAAGGGAAAGAAAGACGCATGCAATTTATCCTGGTTCCTCCCACAAAACAGGAGTAGTCCAGTCCCCTTGTACTTCCAAGCGATTTTCACTATAATCGCTACTGATTATAATTTGCTCAAGCACACAAGCAAGAGACTTTCAATGCTCAGATACAGAAGTAAAAGACTTCAAATGCTCGAACACACAAGCAAGAGACTTCAGATGCTCAAGTACACTAAAGCAAGAGACTTCTAACAATCTAACTTACAAATGAGAGATTGTTTGAGTATTACACTTTATATACAATCATAGATGTAAACAAAATACAACATAAAAGACTCTTAAGACTTAAGAATTTCTAGGATATACAAGTGTTAAGAAATTCTAAGTTAAACTTGTGCTTATAATTTGACAGAGTATCAACTCTTTTGTTTGTCAAAGGTTCGTTGTTATTTCTTTAAGTCTTCGGCTCCTTATATAGAGAGACAGAAAAGAGTCATTGAAGAAGACTTCATGCACAAGTGATCCTTCAGAGAAGCTTTGATCAGAGACACTGAAATGTTACTTGATATGGTTAATGCCTGGAAAAAGACAGTTGAAATCCCTTTGCTTCAAAAGGAATTATTTGTTCCGTCTTTGTTGTCTTTGAACTTGAATCTTCACGTGACCAGAAAAGGATAAATTGCTCTCTGAGTCTGATAGTGACCTATCATAGATTCTTGATATGTGTGCCTGGATGACTTCAAAGTCTGGATCTTTATAGGTTAACTTTCTTCAAACGCTAGTCTTCGGAAGTTTATCTCCTTCAGAGTCCGAGTCTTCAGTCTGATGCTCAGATTCTGGATCTTTCAACTTCTCTTTAATGTTCAATTTTCAGTGCCAGAACTTAGTTTATATCACAAATTTTAGTTTATAGTCCTGCACACTTGAACAAATATTAGTATACTCAATTATTCTTTAAATATTTTGTTATCATCAAAACTTTAGGGATATGGTACAAACCAATTTTGTTCCAACAATCTTCCCCTTTTTGACGAACACAAGTATTTAAGAACAATGGTTATTGATTTAATTAACTAGTTGACTTCAAGGTCTGCGGTTTGTAGCTCCCTCTGATTCTAATAGTCCAAAAGGTGAGGTTTGTAAGCCCTCCTAAGTTCTTTCCAAGTTAATAAATTGATCATTATAGTACAATAAATAATCTCCATATTTTCAAGCAAGAAATAAACTATAAGATTCAGGTGCTTAAATACTTATTATCTTACTCCCCCTTTTGTCATCAATAAAAATAAAAAGAAGAAAGTAAGAAAAGAGACTGAAGAGAAATATCATAAACTCAAAAGAGAATTTTCAGAAGCATAATAATTTTATAATCAAATCCACAAATTTAAATGTTTGGTATTTTATCAAATCATTTTAGAAAAGTGGTTGTAATTTGGCTAGAATGATTATGAACAACTCTTCAATTCTCGAGATGGTCCAATCTTGTTCTAACAACTGAGCATTTGAGAGGAATAGTAGCAGTCAAAGTTGGGGAAATGTGCATGAAGACCAATAATATATCTCTCTCCTATGTCCATTGGTGCACAATAAACAAAGTTGATTTTTCTTTATCCCAACTCTCTATATAAGCGCGGTTTCGTTACAAGCAAGGTCACATTCCTCTTTCTTCCATCGTAATTTTTTCATATCAGACAATATGAGCGAATCATCGGAGATTTCTAAGAGGGGCTCCTCCAAGGAAGTTAGGAAGGCCATTAAGAGGTACAGAGATGATATGACAAATTCTTTTGATGATGAAAGAACACAACCTGGCACATCTGTCGGAGCATTTGTGGTAGGAAGAACTTCAGTGTCAAAGATGAAGAATATCAAGAAAAAGAAGGATACATCTGATGAAAATGGATCACACACTGATGAGGACTAGAGGATCTTCATTAAGTCAGGTGGTTGGATCATAGACCAAGTCTGAAAGGTGTAACCTTTTTTAGTGCATCTATTAGCTTTTGTTGTTAATTATCTGTTTTGTTGAAATTGGTATTATGTTTGGTAAAATTAACTTAGCATGGACATGTTAAAATAGGATGTTCTATCAGCTGGATTAACATGTCGAATGCGATGTCCTATGCAGTTTCTTTCAACATCGTGATTTTGTACAGTTCGACTGTTGGATATTTTAGTTTGTTACATGTGCAGAATATTCTGTAAATATTACGATATCCTATGTGGCGCATAGTTTGAAGATTAAAAAGATTCAAGTTGATTTCAAAGAGAATTCTTAGTTTCTAATTATGGAGATAATTTAAAAAACTAATGATTGATGTCCTATCTTTGAGAAGATAATTCTACAACGCTCTTTCATATTCAGCTGCGTATGTGATGCCCAAATCCAATCTATTGAAGGTTATAAATAGAAGGTTTCAACCCTAGTACAAGTGTGAAACTTACAGTGTATTTTTATTAAGGTTTGTATGTTAATTATGAGTCTCTCGATTATCATCTTGATAAAAGATTAGGACTGTGTTTTTGAGTTGTAAGTTATGTCAGTCATTCCAAAGCTTTTAAGCAGTGAATGATTGTGTGTCTTTGAAGTGTGACTTCTATTATTTTATAAGTGTTTGGAATTTTTTATTCATTGTTCTATGATTGGAAGGGATTTGATAAGGGTCTCATACCTAGGTGAGTCTTAGGTACAAGTTAAGCAAGGGTAATGATTAAGTGAGAAGTTGTAAACGAGGGAGTTTAGCTTCAAATTAATATTATCTAGTTGGTTTAGTCCCTGGCTTGGTAGCCCCCAGAGTAGGTGTTATTGTACACCAAACTGGGTTAACAATCATGTGTGTTCTTTACTTTTCTGCATTGTATTCACCGTTTACCTTGTCATTTTGTGTTTGTTCAGAGAAAGGTGCCTCGATATCTCTTAGGACATCTGAGATCTGAATACCGTAATTTCAATTGGTATCAGAGCCAAGTTTCCTTCTCTAACTATGGATGAGATTCAGGGAAGATACTTTCTAATACAATGGACAAGGAAGGAGGATTTATAAACAGACCACCCATCCTTGATGGAACCAACTATCACTATTGGAAAGTTTGTATGGTGGCCTTTATCAACTCCGTGGACAACAAGGCTTGGAAAGTTATGGTCAAGAGATGGGATCCATCAATGGTTGTAGGTCTGGATGGCAAAGCTACTGAGGTTGTGAAGGATGAGGAAGAATGGGATGATAAAGATGAAAACACTACTACGGAAAACTCATTTAACAACGGTTGGAAATCCATATAATCACGCGGGTCCAAGCGTTATTGTGTAGAGTGTTATTGTAAATGTGTTACTTACAATCAAGGTTCTGGAACCGTTATAGTATACTTGAAAGTTTGTGTGATATCACAACAGTTAGTTAACTTAATCGTTGTTGTATATCTTTTAATAAAATTAAAAAAAATAGCAGTAGAACAACAATAGCAGTAAGAACAACAAGAACAACATGAACAACAAGAACAACATGAACAACAACAAGAACAACAACAAGAACAAGAAGAACAAGAAGAACAACAACAAGAACAACAAAAACAAGAAGAAGAAGAAGAAGAAGAACAACAACAACAACAACGTACAACAACAACAACAATAACAAGAACAATTACAAGAACAAAAATAATAAGAACAATAACAACAAGAACAACAACAACAAATATAACTAAAAAAATAACAACAAGAACAACAACAACTAACGTTGCTAACTTGAATCAATAATTGCCTTGTCTCATTCAAGATGTAGAATAGATGCTTTCTAGTTTTTCTTATGGAAAAAAATGATATTTTCGAGCTTGGTTTAGTGGAGAATAGAGTGTCGTAAATGAAAGATGATGTTTGAAGGTAGAAGATGAAGTTTATCCAAGTTTGAAGTTTACCTAAGTTATATTAAATACCCTTTGTTGTATGCCTTTTAATAAAATATAAAAAATACAGAAGTAGAACAACAACAACATCAAGATTCGAACTCATGACCATGTGCCACTTTTTACCACGGTTGGAACTTCCAACCGTAGTGAAAAGTGGCTTAATTTTGAAAAAAAAATGCCTAGTAGAATAGATTCTACCACGGTGGATCCTTTAACATGGTGAATTAGGTGTTGTTGTTTGTGTGTTTTGTAGTAGTGAAAATCATCAGAGGGAAACTCTAAAGCATTTAATGCCCTATTCAATGAAGTGGACAAGAATATCTTCAGGCTAATA